GGGGGGGGGGGGGGGGGCTAGTCGTCGGTGGTCCTGTAAATTGATGTAAAAGATAAAAGATTACTAAAACTGCATTATTTGAATGTTACTATACATGTAGAATTTCTGGCACGGTGGTTTCATGTTTCTTTTTCATGACTCGTGAGGGAAAAAACCATAAAATATCACGGGAATTAGTTTTCTAACAAGAGGCCGGTTCATTTATTACAAGTGCTCTAACAAGAGGGTATTTTGTTTAGGTATATCTTTTATTTCTGTTTTTAACTGCTGCAAGTGTGACGGCTTTCCTTATTTACCCAGTTACTAACTAGTAATACTGATTATCAGAGATATAACAAGATTTTGGCATGATATCTTGTCTGCAATAATCTTCCGTTAGGGTTTCACACAGGCAATCATATATATATATATATATATATATATATATATATATATATATATATATATATATATATATATATTAAGTGTCACACTAGACAAAATAGTCATTTAGTTATATTTGCCTAAGAACATTTTTTTTGTTAAATAAGCTTTCTATTTATCTGAATAATCTGTACAAGTATGTCATTATCCTAAAGCTGGACATGCAGCCCCACCTTTAGCGTGCGTCTATAGCCTCTTCTACTAACTCTAACCTTCTGAAATTTTTACTACTTAGTATCCTGTATCTTATTGCACCTGGTTAGACCTTCTCCTTATTGCTTCATGGATAGAAGTTTAGGCTGGCCATCTGCTTTGCTTGTCTTGGTACTTTGCTTCCTCTGCAGTGTATATCTTGTATAATCATCTTTGCAATCACATCCTCTCATCTACATTTGTTCTAGAACAGTTTTAGGTTCCTTTCCTACCAGATATAGTAGATGCTCCCAGCTAAAGTCATTCTATATATTTCAGCTTTCCCACATTTTTCTTGTGCATTATTTATTGCCACTGTTATCTCCTCAGACCATCCCATTACAGCTCTGCTGACACCCTGCCATGTGAGTAGTTTTTGCCAGATTGTAGTTGCTATGTTGCATTCAAAGAATAAGTGTTGCGTAATTTCCTGCTCTTGCTCACATAAAATGCATATCGGGCTACTCTGCATCCCCCATTTGATGAGCCTATCTCTGGTATATAGCCTATTCTGTACAGCCATATATAGGATGAAAGACCACCTTGGACTGCTTTGATTATTACACATCAGCCTCCTCCAATGAACTCTAGAATAATCACCTCGCATGTTGTTATACATTTGCTTTATGGAGAACTTGTCCCGGCTCATAATCTCCTCTACTGTTAGCCCAGCCTCCTCAACATATTTCCCTGCATTGAAGATCTTTTGCACAACCCAGGGTTCCTGCTTTGGTTTTACTTCATTCATCATATTCCCCTTTATATAGTATGTGTGGACCCATTTGATCTACAATCTATCTTTTTTCTGCCCCAGACTCTAGTAGTGTTTTAGGGTAAAATTTGTTTCATAAGCCAATGTTTGTTATGTTCAATCCACCAGTAACCTTAGGCAATCATAACTTTTTCAGAGAGATTTTTAATTTGGAACATTCTACAGCTCGTGTCCAGAGGTAGCTTCTGCAAATTTCTTCAATTACCTAAATGATCTTTTTAGGCAATATGAATATTTGAGACCAGAAATTTTGTATAGCTGTAAGGACACTCTTAATCAGCTGCAGCCTGCTTGCATAAGATAGTACTTTTGCTGTCCAGGTAGTGATCCTTCCTGTCATCTTGTCTAATAGTGGTTGACATTGCCCAAGTGATAGCCTCTTAGAGCTCAGAGGTACACCTAAGTATCCAAAGGGCAATTTGCCAGTTTGGAAGCCCAAAGTTTGCAGAATTCCTGCTGTATGTTAGGAGCAACTCCTCCAAAATAAACATACCTTTTCCCTAGTTAGCTACTAACCCAGATGCCTTAGAAAAAATGTCAAAACAAGCATACAGTAGCTTTGCAGATTATCACATCTTCTCTGCAGAATAGGAGCAGGTCATCTGCAAATCCCAACTGTACTAGGTTTAGCTTTGCACACCTAGGGTGATAGTTAAAATGAGGATTGTTCTTCAGAGTCTTCAGCAGCCTGGTAAGGTATTCTATTGCTGTTATAAAAAGATATGGAGATAGGGTGTCCCCTTGCCTCACCCCTCTCTTTGCAGCAGATGGAGTAGTTGTCTTACTATTAACTACAATAGAGTAGGATACTATTTGAACACATGTCATAAGCTATTTCACAAATGTATCAGGGAAATTCAACCCAATAAGCACCTGCTCTAGGAACACCCATTCCAGTGAGTCATAGACTTTTTGCATGTCAATCTTGATCATGCATCTAGGTGATATTCCATTTCTCTCATACCCCTTTATTAGCTCATGGCTAAGTATAATATTATCATTGATCACCCTACCAGGTACAAATGCAGCTTGTTTTTTATCAATCAAGTCATCCATAACCCCCTGTAGTCTGTTGGTTAGCATTTTTGATATAATTTTGTATATTGTAGTGCAGTAGAAAATTGGTCTGAATTCCTTCACATAAGATGGGTTCTTTACTTTTGGCGCTAGTGTAACAGTAGTAGAGTTTATTCGCCTATACATGTCTTGGGTTTCAAAGAACTTAAGCACGGTATCGGTCACCCCCCCCCCCCAACTGTTGTACAGGCTTTTTTGAAGAAGCGTGAGTTGAAACCATCCATCCCTGGTGCTTTAGCTTCATCTATCCCATATAGTGCCTGATATACTTCTTCTTTGTCGAAAGGTCTAATGAGTGCTTGTTGCTTCCTTCTATTAAGTATACGACCTGTGTTCATTATATTAGGCTGTATTGCTGGCAGTGTTGTGTTTGCATTTCCTAGCAACAGCTTGTAGAATTTGAATATTTCCTCCTCTATGCCCTTCTCTATTTGCAGCATTCTGCCTTCAATAGACACTAAAGCCTTGATATGGTTCTGTGCTCTCCTATTCTTCATGATTGCAAAGAATTATGCTGAATTGGAGTCTCCTAGCTTTAGCCATTGCACCGGAATTTCTGTTTGTATATGCTTTCTTCTATCAAATCCCATTTCTCAAGTTGTATCCTCAGCTCCTTTTCTGCTTCAAATAGCTCCTGTGAGTGGTTTGGAGTTCTCATGTCTTCCTGTATATTTTTAAGCTTGCCTCTAATGTCTTTGAGTCTTTCTGTGACCCCATTAAACTCCTTGACATTCAATTTTTTAATGGCATTTTTAGCATGCTTCAGCTTCTCCCAGATGTCCTTCATATAGTGTGCATTATTAGTTTGCCTCCAGCTGTCCTCTACTACCTTGATGCAATTAGGGTGTTATGCTATACAGTTCATGAATCTAAATATTTTCCTGCATCTATTTTCTGGCCTGCCCAATTCAACGCAGAGTGGAGAATGGTCTGAGAAGATAGGGTCCATAACTTGCACTGATAGAGGTGGCTAGGGGTGTTCACGGTTCGGTTTGGTCGATTTTTGATTAAAACCAAACCAATTTAATCGGTTTTTAAAATTTTAAAACCAAAACCAAACCAAATTAAATACAAACCATCGGTTTGATTGTTGTTGGTTTGGTTCGGTTTGGTTCGATTTTTCGGTTCTTAGTAAGCTAATGATAAGTCGATAATATTAAAACAACGCTAGACAATAATCTGAAAATAATTGGCCAAATTTATGCTTTTTATATATTTCTTTGAGAATTGAAAGTTTATTTACATGTTTATATGAAAAGAATGAACAAAAAAC